TCATCATCATCATCATCATCATCATCATCATCATCATCATCATCATCTCTCGACAACATTCAAAGTAGAACTTGACTTAAAAACTGAAGAAAACACATGTGTGCAACACACAGAAACACAGACACACCCACATGTGCCCCGGTCTGAGTCTAAACCCATATATCTACCGGCCGGAGTATGTTTATTTTTCGCGGGCACCGCACCCAATCTAAGAAGTCCTATCCGGCGGATGAGCATCTCTATGTACTCTCATTTAGGCGATGTGCGGGTTGCCTTGCAAGCTTTTGTTCAGGTGCCTTGTTATGTCTGTGTATAATGTGTATATTAGCACATATTGCTGCGCTTCAACCAATCCTAGGAAAGACAGAAACTTCACCAGGCAGTCCAGTACCTCAACATGGAGGTTGCTCACAAAATCGGCTGAGTGGCTAGATCCTTGGACCAGGATGATACTCAGCAACACCCAAGACACGGCTTTTGATCACAAAGTTTGGAGTAAGACATGTGACCAGTTGGCTCTTCACACTTCACAACAATGTGGGAGGTCTCCTCGTGCAGACTTTGCGTGCACTTTCACTCAGCCGAGAAGCTTCAAGCTGAGATTCTGATAGTTGCACCCTGGAGGCTCCAAATTTTAGAACCGTGTCATTGAGTCACGAAACCTTGAGGTGTTTGGGTCTTTGGAGGAAGCAATCAGGAGAACTTGGTTGCCATCATAAGCTGCTTTAGATTGCTAGCTGCTTTGCTGACCAAGCAATTCCGGCATGGAGGATGGGAGAGCCCTAGCAGATGCCTGGTATAGCACTGATGGTGTGTCCTGGTTCCAGGCAGCCTTCAGCCACTTGACTCTACACCTTACCTTGCAGAATTCGTTTAGGTCACTGGTAACTTGAGGCAGAATTGCAGAATCTGTTTGCACTCTCCAGCAGTGTTTTTTCATTGCAAGCTGTGGCCAGGCACAAGCTGCGGCTTCCTGGGGGCCACGAATTGGTGCAACTGCTGTTTGGGCCACAAAGTTCAAGCACTTTCTTGGTGTTTTCCTCGCATTCTCTTGACAGACAGCTTGCACCGGGAGAAGGCAGCATGGTTGTTTGACGTTCCTCTCAGTTCTGTGGCTGTAGCTGTCGTGATGTCAAGGTCACATTGCAATGGCAGGCCAGAGTCCAGATTGATTGTTTTTTTGGTCGCTTTCTGTGACTCTGTGAATCCTTCAGAATGAGTGTGTGTCGTTTTGACGCCCTGATCAAGGAGACATTAATATAATGAATAAGGACCCTTTTGAGCACCCATCAAGGAGCACAACACCAAGATACACCAAGTTCATGGAACAACACGTGGTTTGCCTTTGAAGATCATAGACTGCTTCAGGTGACAAGCATATTTGGAGCCATGCCGGTCTTAATTCTTGGAGGTCTTGGCATTTGTGCAGGATATGCTGCTGCACTTTGGGTGAAGGGGCGGGAACCGCCCAAAGGAAAAAATCCCAATGTCAAGCACGCCTCGCTTGGCTCCTCATCAGAATTATTTGACAATTTTTGCTGGTTGGAGGCCATCGCTACTAGGTTGTTTATTTGACAGTGAAGTTTACAATCAAATTTCAGCTGGTGATACCCGGTGGGGATCCTGCACCAGGGAAAAAGTGCAACCAAGGCAAAATAAGACTACTGTACAGTATGTCCATTGACAGGATCTGAGGTAATTACTGAATCTGGAAGCTTGAAAGACACAGCGGAAGCAAGTCTAGTTTGGTGCCTGGGTTTGGGCCTAGTGTTAACATCGCTAAATCATTCTAAATCCATCTAAATCCCCAACGCTCATCTAGATACTTTGTTGTAGAGTAAGTTGTCTCATTCTTGGAGAGCCTTCTGAGTAATCTGAAGGCCCAAAAGAAATGCCTTTTTTCCCTTGCTTCGTCGCAGTCCTGAATTTGCAGACGGATCCTGATAGCTATTGTCAGGTTCCAGGTTATGCCCCACAAAAAAA